ATTTTTTTTAGAAGTCTCCTACTCTCCAGGACTGCATCTATTTGATAAAAAAATTTCAGTATAACATTATATTGTGTAATGTTATTACAATTTAAAATAACTATTTTCGGTTTTAATATATTTAGTATATTACAGAAACCATGATAAAACATTTTTATCATGACTCTGGAACAAAAGAAGTTTCAAAGAACAGCATTTATTTAAAATGGAAATCGTTTGTAACATTATAGAAATCTTTACCGTTACTTTTGAGCAATTTTATGCATGCTTTCTGAATAAATATTAATTTCCTAATAAAAGTTTTTTTAAAAAATCTTACTGACCCCAAACTTTTGAATTGTAGTGTAATGTACTAAAAAGTAGTGTAACGTAGCTCTCATCACTGAGCTACACACATGCCTACCTTTGCATTTCTAAGTGGGAGTATGCCTGAATTGTGCTCTTCCATTTGTCAATGCTGGGATACTTCAGAGGGTCCATGTCTGTGCCACCTAAAGCCGACAAAACCTCTCTGTCCAACTTGGTGGGCGAATCCCTGAAAAAAGAAGGAAAGAGTGAAGGTTTAAAGCCAAAAAAATTTAAAAATTTGTCTGGGACTATCCACAAATTGTACAGAACAGGACCTTAAATAAAAGTTTTTGATTTCTTTTACAGCAAATGGTTAGTCAAAAAGTGTTTTTGTATTCATTTTCAACAGCCATTACTCCAGTCTTCAGTGTCACATGATCCTTCAGAAATCATTCTAATATGCTCATTTGTGCTCAAGTAACATTTCTTATATTAAAAACATGCATACAAATGTATACAAAAAAGAAAATGTACTTAAATGAAGAAAAAAAACAACGGAATGAATAAGATGAATAAATTAAAAACAAGTGCCAGAACTGGGTTGCATATTTAGCTTAAATTAATCACTCAGTAGAGGTCTGCTAGGTTTAGAACCATCTATTTTACTACAAAAACTTATAGACCAATACACATTAGTAAGGTAGCACCATATTTAACTTTTTACAGGAATGAAAACAAGACTGTGAGGGATAAACTTACAGTGTGTTCAAAGGACAGTAATGTTGTTTAACAACATACACATTATTCAGCTGACTTTTGTCCACTTTTGATGGACAAAAACGTCCTAAAACAGTTTTAAAAGTTGTGAGTTATGAAAACTGCATGTGATCTTGGTCCTTTACACTGAGTGTGCCATTGTAGACCGTAAGTCTATCCCTCACAGCCTCGTTTTATCTGCATACAATTCAATGTGGCATCTAACCTGACTAAGGTCTATGCTTAAAATAAAGTCACGAGACACCAAAATGTACCATATGTGTACCATAAAAGCCGAATATTTACAAAATTCCATGACTAGCCTAGATATCACAATTATAAATTCTCTGCTATACTACTGGAAATAAGTAAAGCCTTTATATTGAAGCATCACAGTGATCATAGGCTCCTCTCACCCTTCAATGAAGAGTCTTTTCTTCACTCTAGGAGGAGTCCGCAGTATGAAGTCCTGAGAACTGTCAAGTGATCTGTAGGAGCTGGAAGACCCTGAGGAGCTGAGGTCTCTTCCCCCATGATCCCAGGACTTTGATCTGGCACAGATCGTGCGCTCGCCTCCTGGAGTCTCTACAGTCCGTTGGTTCATAGGTTCTAACCTCTCATTGGCCAGAAAGTACTCGTCTGAACTTGCACTGGATCTCGCATCTACTTCATTTTTTCTCTGCAATCCATCATTCTCTGCTGCTCGTAACACTGACGTCCTGTCTTTATCAAACACAGAGTCGTCTTCCGAGGACAACGAGAGGCGGCCCAGTCCGGAGGTGAGCTCTGTGGCCTGAGCGTCTCTGTGACGTTTCCCTCCACTTCTTCTTCTCTCCCTGTTTGTCCTGTCTGGCTCATCCAGCAGAGACATCCTCTCAAACTGAGCCATTAGGTTTGAGATAGGCGACAAAATGCAGGAATTTGATGAACTGCAGATGCGAGGGGACATTTTGTCCCCGTTTGGAGTCCTGTCCCCGGGGCCCTGCTCACACAGGCCATTTTTACTGCTGGAGAGCAGTAGATC